ACAGTCTCGAAAAATATCGCGTACGAAAATTAACGTTTTTATTGTAAATATATGTAGAATAATAATTTTGACATTATTAAATTGCTAAAATAAATTACATTAACAGCTTCAGAAACAATATACATTTTAAGATAGAATCGGTCTAGGAATTTAATATACAAGCGAAAAGAAATCATTATTAAGAGGAGACGACATTCTCTACTAGCAAGAGTGACAGTTTTTATATTAATATATATACAGATATAATTATATAATAATATGCATAATATATATGCATATTAATATATTAATTATATTATATCAATTACGTATAACAATCAGGGAGGGAATTGTTACTTTTATTGTTACTTTTTATAATAATGATTGAATGACGTTGTAATTTTTATGACGGTAACGATAACTAATTAAAAATTAAAATTGGAAAAGTCACTTTTGAAAGTAACTTATCACCGTTGACTTATTACTTTTACTTGTTACTTTAACTCGTAACAAATAATGAATTATTTTTTTAAATAGATAACATATAATCAATAAGAAATTAACAAAGGGCAAGTGAGAGTAAATAATAACTGCGCGGTTAGAGGTGCGTTATAAAAAGTTTCTTAATAATATTTGAAACAAAAATATACTTCTTAACAAAGTTCCGGACGTTTTGTTGATGACCTTCAGTCATCTTCAGCGATTCAATGCAAATAAATATACAAAATAAATTAAATCACACGGATACAAAATAGCAACGCAAGTTTACGAACGTTATATACATTCTTCCTGACCCTCCCCTGGTCGACAGCAATTGTGTGAAACCACTCATTTAAATTCAAGTTGGAGGAGTACAACCTTAGTCGTAGCCCAAAATGACAAAAATTCAAATTTAAATATATAAAAACCATGAACTGTACGTTGCTATAATCGAAATTGAGAGAGTAGAGAACTCATCAGATGCAATCGAACAAGGAAGCCCCAAAGAAGTTGATGCAATAGTCAAGTAAATTTTTCACAACATTCTTATTAGCGTGACAACGTGACATGTCGACTCAACAGATAACTGTGTAATGTAACACAAAAATTCTCGTCAAAGCGCTCATGTATCATATCCCAACAAGCATGGTAAACACAAATATATAAGATTAATAAACAGAAACTCACACAATGTATATGTTTTGACTAGATGCGCACTCAAGCGTAACAATATCTATTTAAATGTCTTTAAAACATCAACGTACAAATGGTGCAAAAATTCAGTATCCGATTTTAAATTTAAACCATTTGATTGTAGTGTGATATGTAATATTTCGGAAACGAGTCTGCTATTAAAAAATCTTTTACAATCCTTAATTTTAACATTCTCCCAATCAAATTCATGGCTCTCTAATCTATGTTCAGTAATTACAGATTTAGTCGCAGTTATTCTGTTGATTTGATTACGATGTTCGGAAATTCTAGTTTTCAGTTTCCTACTTGTTTGACCAATGTATGTTGCGTCACAATTTTTGCAACAGATTTCGTAAACAACATTCTTATTTTTTATAATTATAAGTAATATATAATTATAGTTACAAATACAAAACATTTTTCTCTCAGTGTACGTCCCAAAAATATTCGAATACGACTACGCGCTGCGATACATTTTAGGAATTAAGAACTGGCACGTTCGAACCTCTCTCTCTTGGTTCGGACCGAGAGCGCATAGACATACTAACTCAAAGATCAAAAGTGTTCGCTCGTAAACCCTAAGTCTCTTCACACTTCCGGAAGGACATAAATAAAATGCTGTTATTTTCTCTGTGAAAAATTCGTTTTATGTCATTCGTATTTATGTTATGTTAAATGTATCGCGCGCGTGTTCGTTGGTAAACCGAACTGAGCAGTTCTCCTGTTTTCAAAACAATATGGAGAATATTTCGTAAGAGTCTCAAATTTCAGTAGCACGTTCTGTGTCAATAAATTCTTCTGTAAAAGTTTAATTACGTACCAGACATCCCTCTTGTGACATCGAACATTTTTTAGTCACTAAGAGTAAATATAACTATGAGTAAATATAAGTTATAGGATTTGAATAAATATAATTTAATATGAATAAATATAGTATAAAGAAATGTCTTCTTTTTATATAAAATTACTATTATTACTAATAGTGTTTTCAACTGCAGTAGGTTTGGACCGACCTTGGTTAGATTAATGATATAACATGTAGCTCTCCTATTGATGGACGTTACATACTCTACCAATAATAGAGCATACAAACGTCATTAATCCAACCCAGATCGGTTCGAACTCACTGCAGTTGAAAACGCTTTAAAACGCAATATAACCGAGTTTGAGTGGTAGAGTGTCTTAAACGAGGTGGCTGGATCACACGGACGAAAGTCTGCAGTGGCCTGTCCTATTATTAGAGAAGTTTCAGCCAAGTGCATCAGGGAGGCAAGTCGAGAGACAGCCATCGCAATATTATCTCGATATTATTACGACGGTAAATCCGGAGGGATAGACACGGCAAATTAAGGGCTTAGGATCGGTCCGACTGGATATAAAACTCGTAGTGGCAACTCACTGTGGGTGACCATAGAGAAATCTCAAGCGGCGGTACCGCGGGTGCAGCGCGCGTAAATGCATGGTCACGCTCACCGGTACCAGTACGGACGTTGATTTCGCGTCTACCGCCACGGAAATTGGAAACCACCGTCCCGCTCGTTTGTTTTGCCGTGTACAATCGACGACTTCTACAAGTTGCACACACGTGTGCACGAGAGAGTGAAATCGCGAGTTGTAACCGCGGCTGCGATAGTTGGTCAAGCGATTCGTGTATACAGTGTTTCGACTTTGTTTTTTTTTTTTTAATACGCCAATAGGTACGTTCGGGAAGACGCTATTAGCGCTATTTATGTCATTCTATCTTTTACATTTAATAAACAACGAAGATAGAATGACGGTGCGAAGTCTGGAAAGTAGCGCTAATAGCGTCTCCCCGAGAGCGAACTAATACTCTTTTATAGATATTCGCGATACGAAGAAGAAGGGAAGTAGTCAGTTTTTAATCACTGCAGATTGAAGATTAAAGCACAGATTTAAAAACCTGCCATTTGATACTCTCGTAACACTACAACCTGCCGATGGTGCCATTTTAGCTCCGTTAATCATTTCAATTTTTGTTTTCTTTTTTATATTAAATATACAGTACTGAAAATATGTGAATATAAGATATATACAATACAAATAATTCTAAAATCATACAAATAATATCAAAATAAATTTTTTTCATCAACGGAAAACAAGGATAGGAAATTACCAAATTCGCACTTAGCTTCGACAGTTCTAGCAAATACTGTCGGTTTTAATGTTAAATAATAATTCACTTATTAACTTTGAGATTTAAGCAGTCTAATCTGATAGAAATGAGCCGCTTTCTTTCTTTCTTTCTATTTATATTTGTCACAAAATTTGACTGTTTAAAAGATATAACTATAAGCTTGGAATATTCTGTATATATCAATATCAGCATACGCATGAGCATACGCATGAGCATACGCATGTATGCATATTTATGTAATTACACGTGTTTTTCGCCTGTGTGTGTGTAATCGGTGCAAGCGGTCCGCCAATCTTTTAGCGTCGATCAACGGGTAGCGAGTTAATTGGAGGAAATCGCATTAACGATCAACGCAGTCAACGGCAGCAGCAATATTTCTTATCGATTTTTAATGATTTATAAAATATCGCAGATATATGTCAATAGAAGCGGCCTGTTACTTCGTATAAATTTATTGATTTGATCTACGAGTATATATGAGTACTAATTAATTTCTTACTGTTTTATGTGTGCTTATATAAGGTGTCTTGTAAAACGTATATATATTCTAATGCACCGTAACGTGACTTCCGATCATTTCCGACCATTTGCTGTTTCCAAGAATTTTATATTAAATAATTTAATATTGAAAATAGAATGTTTCTAAAGAAAAACAAAAGATTTCTCAAATATTTAATATACATATGTATAATATATTAGGTATGGGAATAAGTTTCCGCCCATTAGAGAGATGTCGTTAGTAGCACTGCTTGTGTGTTTGATAAAATGGCAATACATGTATTTGAAAGGTGTGTATTCAAGCTTTTGACCCCAGTAGTTGATATTCGTTCGAAGCGATTTGTTTGAACTAATGTTAATATATGTATAATATATTAAATAATGAGTAAGTTGGGCAATTAGGAATCGGCGCTGTAAGTGGTACGCTTAAATGACTAAAATCGTTATATAATCTAATATATTTTTACAATTCAATAACGTACGTTTCGGCTAAATTCTAGCCTTCTTCAGCGAATATTTCAAGAGTTGCGTTTCACTGACTGATGTGTATGTAGATTCCATTGGCTAATCTCCCATGGCTAAATGTATGGGAGATTAGCCAACGGAATCTACACTCACATCAGTCAGTGAAACGCAACTCTTGAAATATTCGCTGAAGAAGGCTAGAATTTAGCCGAAACGTACGTTATTGAATTGTAAAAATATATTAGACTATAACGATTTTAGTCATTTAAGCACACCACTTACAGCGCCGATTCCTAATTGCCCAACTTACTTATTATTTAATTATTATTGTCATATATATATATACGAAATCTTACTTTTATAATTATGTATAATGTTTTCTTCCGGACGAAGATTTAGTATATAAACTCGAAAATTATTTAACATATATTTTTTATAAATATTTATTGAGCTATAAACTTTTGTAGATCAATAAAAGCAATATTATTTAAAAATAATTGCTTAAGAATAATTTTGTGACCCTCTCAAAAATTCCGCTAGACTTAAAAAATTGCACGTCGAAAAAAAACAAGTAGATATATTTAAAGAGAAAATATTCGCCATTATGTGTGCAATCAAGTGATATACACATGTTAAGACGCGCAAAATAATTTCTCCAATGTATTATGTGGCGCAGAGTGAGAAAAATTAATTTTCATTACGTTGCTATGACAATGACGATTCGCGTGAGATCATTTATTAATTATCGCATTCGGTGAATTAAGTTAAGTGCTAGGAAGGCACAATAATTTCCAGGCGGCATTCTCAGAATCTCTAATATTCTCCCCTCGGGAATGATTGATCATTACAAGAAAAAAAGTGTTGACAGTTAACATTTTCATGCGAATGAAACCATTGTCTTTCTTGTGTGAATTGAAGGTTATTATTAATGTTAATAAGAATAGATTTTATCTTCGTATTTCTTCCACTGGGGCGTACTCTTTGTCAGAAGTATCTGTGTCGCCAATCGTTATAATATTACTGATTTACGACGCGACGAGCTCACGAGTGAACCATGAAAAAATTCGCGACAAATCATGTAATGAAATATCAGGAAACGTATCAAATCGATTCGACGAAATATTAACGAAAATTAGATTTGAAATAAATTGTCGGAAAATATGCTAAATAATTAAAAAAACTAACAATATAATTATCGCCTTATCCTAGAAATTCATTCAAACCAGAAATATTACTACTTATTATTGAAACTAATCTTTAAATCTTATTGACGTTCCACAACTCTGATTGACAACCTTTTAATTTTTTGTTTTTAGGCACCAGCACAGATTTGGTCCCGCAACTGCTGGGTATGTTTGATGAGCTGGCGCGTCGCAGTGATGGCTACGATGGCGATCGCGTGGTTCTACCATCGTCCTGCGGTATATCCGCTGTTCTGCAAAAACGTCTGAGCATGGTACCGGTTGCCCATCGAAGTTCCGTGTTCGGTCAGCTCTGCACAAACGGAGATTTAGCCAAGCCTATGTACCAGGACATGCTGAAGACCAAGGAACAAGAAGACGAGTACGACGAGGTTGTTGCGGATGCCAGCAATAATGCCATGTTGGAGACGATCATCCCGGTAATAATGCTAGAGCAGGAAGGAAACGGGGAAACAATCGAGGAAACCACTGGGAAGCCGATGTATGAAAGACGGGAGACCAACGGCCTTACTACCCCGCTTAGATACAAACGACGCAGAAACGGCGGTAGACCACTCTCCGGAAGTTCGATCGCGTCCAGCACATCTTCTAGCAGTTGTAGCAATCAGGGCAACACTTCCGCTGCCAATCCTTATTTAGCGTCTGTCGAATCTCTTGCCGATACCTGTGCCAGCTCCCAGGGTTCCGCGGACAGTGGAGTCGTGACGGTTTCGGAAGCTAGCTGTCGGATATTGAATGACGACAATGGACAAAGGAGGAACAGCGCTGAGGAGGATCCTTTATGCCATAGGCCGCGCTACTGCGACCCGCATCGAAATCCCGTTGAGAGGGTGCTCCTTGAGATTGTAGACACGGAAGCGATATACGTCGAACATCTGCGTCAAATTATTCAGGGTTATCTCATATTCTGGAGAGATAATCCACCGTCGTTCTCACGTCGATTACGTCTCGGTGACCTGTTTAGTAATATTGAGGATATCTTCGAGTTTAATAGAGAATTTTTATGGGAGATAGAGAAATGCGGCCTAGATCCTGTTTGCGTCGCAAATACGTTCATTAAACGTAATTCGGGATTTAAAGTATATACCGAGTACTGTACCAATTATCCGAGGACAGTCTCGGTGTTGACCGATTTAATGGGTCAGGAGGAAACTGCGTCCTCCTTCCACGAAAGGCAAGAGGCTCTAAGACATCAGCTACCGCTCGGATCCTTCCTTTTGAAGCCCGTCCAAAGGATCCTTAAGTATCATCTGCTTCTGGAGAATTTATCAAAGGAGTACGGTGCCGATTGTGATTTGAGAGAGAATGAGGCTGAAGGTAGAAGTGCCATCGAGGCTGCTCTTGCCGCAATGACTGGCATTGCAAAGCACATCAATGCTATGAAGAGGAGGCACGAGCACGCTGTACGTGTTCAAGAAATTCAGTCGCTTCTGTACGGTTGGCTAGGACCAGACCTAACTACAAGTGGCGAATTGGTTGCGGAAGGTCGATTCAGGATGCGAGGGGCCAAAGCCCCGAGGCATGCCTTCCTCTTTGATCGAATGCTTTTGCTGACGAAGAAGAAGGAAGACAGTCTTCTTATCTATAAAGCTCATATTATGGTACGATTTTCGTCATAATTTTTTGCTTCGTCTGCATTAAAAAAATTATTTTTATTTATATATACACCGAGAAAAATATCCAGGCTTTTCCCGATCATAATGATCAGATTATCCTTTCAAAAAGTAACAAACAGCCATTTCCGATTATTTTGATCGGACAAAAAATCCGATCACATTTAATGGGAAATAAATTCATCGGAATGTTCGATGAGAAATATCCGTTCGTTACCTTTTGAACGAACTGCTCGATCATATTATGTCCGATTAAATACCTGCACGTATACTATATTTTTGATCGAATAACGTTAACTGATCAAATTATACACAATTGAATAAACAAGCATTGATCATTTATTACGCAAAGTTTTATATAAGAAAAAGGTTTACTTACTTATAAGAATGTGGATTACTTTTTCCTCAATTTTTATAGTTTCAAACATTGTTTTTATATCCTGAGAAATTTCGTCGTCATACACTTTCTTTTCGATACTGCAATGATATTGCAGTTTATGCAGCCAAGAATAAGAACGAATGCGTAATAAAAATCAAATAGAGACACGTAATAAAAATCAAATAGATATTTGCGCTAGAGATACATGCTCGCTTGACCTTAGCATCAACAGTGATGGCAGCGTTCAGTAGAGAAAACTAATCAGTTAGCACTTAGTGATTCTTTAATATGATTGGTTCCTACACTTAGATTCAACGAAGAACTAAAGGCAAGAACCAATCATATTAAAGAACCACTAAGCGCTAACTGATTAGTTTTCTCTGCTGAACACAGCAAATGGCTGCGTTTAGCAGAACGTTTATTTTGTAACTGTTGGAAGTTTTCTTCGCGCTGATTGAATTATGCTCTTAGATAAAGAGGAATGGTCCTATCTCAGCAGACAATTATAAAACGGTTGCAAAACTGTTGTATTCTGTCGAACGTGCAGCATTGCCATCATTGCCTAGAAAGCCTATGGAAAGTCGCTGATCACATGCCTAACTATTCTGTGATTGGCCAGTGCCTTCCGATTGATCGGATATCAAACTCTTGATCGGATAAAATATTCTCTTTTTATCCGTTCAAGTCTAATGTCCGATCAAGTTGTAGGTTTATCCGATGAAATTTTAACGGATATGACGGTTCGTATTCCATTTACATGTAATCGAAAATTACATTTCATCGGATAAAGGTGTTTGTCACTTCATCGGATAATCCTGAATCCGATCGAAATTGATTTCGGAGAAAGCATTAGAACGGTTATTTCCGATCAAAAGCACGGGACATTTTTTTCTCGGTGTATTTATATCGTGTCCATTTTACTTTTATGATAGATATTTGAAGGTTTTATTAAAAATATTTTAATTTTTCGAATTATTTTTTTCATTTTTTTCACATACATAATTTTCTATTAATTCTATAAAAAATAAATACAACTGTAAATATAATTTTCTTCATTTGTTTCTAGTGTTCAAATTTAATGCTAATTGAAAGTATCCCAGGAGAGCCACTTAGCTTTCACGTAATACCTTTTGATAATCCTCGATTGCAGTATACATTACAAGTAAGTATCATTGAGATATCTTGTTGATTGAAAAGCAGACCTTAAATGTATACGCAAGGATTGTATGTTATTTAATAATCATTCATCTATTTTTTAGGCGCGCAATTTAGAACAAAAGAGAGAATGGACCTTACAAATAAAGAGAGTGATATTAGAAAATTATAATGCGGTTATACCGTCGCATGCGAGACAATTAGTGTTACAATTGGGTCAAACGCAACAAGAAGGTACAAATAGTGATTTAATTTTGCAATCTATTTTTAATCATCACGCGAAATCGATCAAAAAGTAATGCACTTGACACTTCAAGCAGATGACGCGTTGACGGATAAAGGATCAGCAAAGAAACACTCTGCCCCTCCGGAATATTTGGAAAAACGTAAGCAGGAAAGAGAAAGACGTAGATCCGAAACTAGTCTGAAGCAAAAGTTCATGAGGGGCGTTAGAAAATCTGATACCACAATGGAGGTAAGATCCTAGTGAGACTTTTTTTTGCTTTTTTTTACTACACTTTTGCTTAGTTTTCTCTTGTTTATTTGTAATACGAAATTTTACAAATTTTTCTTACGTCATTAGGATTCACCTACATCGTCTTGTAAAAATGACAATGAAGACATTAATGTCTCCAGGGAGCCAACTTTTAGCAGGTCGGATGTACGTGCTTCGAAAGTCAGGGTAATAATTAACTTCAATATTTTTTTAAACGTATAATAATATAGACAAAAATGAAGAGTGTAATTTTTTAAGGTATAAAAATTATTATTTGCAGTCATTAATCACCACAGAAATTATTGACCGTAGAAATTATTAAATTTGTTTTGGAAAATGCTGAAAATTTTTTCTTAAATATATAACAATTTGATATGCAAGAAACAATGAAATGTATAATATCGACAAACTTGTATTTAGGATCGATTTACCGGTTGGAGACGAAAATCCGAGCCAGGCTTCCAATCGTATGTGTGTCTTAACCATTTGGACGAGGAGCAAAAGGAAGCTACTACTAGCGATGCTCAATCTACTACGGTCGAGATTGCTGAAGAAGCAACCGAAATTTGTACCAAGGAAGAGAATCAGACAACATTGAATTCTTCATCACCTGCCGAAGCCAAAGACAATAATGAACAACATGCTAAACCGGCGCAAACGGTGGAAGAGATCGTCAGTCACATTCTCATGCAGAATCAAGAGTTCCAGAAGCTACTAGAGAAACAGCAGACCAACAGCATTATTAACGTGCGACAGCAACGCTTCAATAAGCGTATCTCAACGGACACGTCGGATGAGAGTGATTCGGAGAACGCTAATTATGTCACCAGTTCGATCAGTCACAACAATAACAATAATAGATTAGGACGCGTTCGAGCGTTGCATCGGGAGCGACTGATCAGGACGAACAATGCGTGGAATTTATTATCTTCGGCACCGGCGCGGGAAAACCAACAGCCACTGCAACTCCTTTATGATAACTTAAAGACTACTCAGAAGTCGACAGAAACACTCGCGCATAACGGCAGGACAAACCAGTTGTACGAGAGGCAGGCGTTCAAGCGACAAAGCATCGTCACCGAGAGCAAGGTGATCAAGACAGCGCTACGTATCCGCGAGAATTCGACGTCAACGGGCAATGAAGAAACCGTCATATCCCCGGCAAAGTGCATGTTAAATCATCGGACAGTGGAACGAAAAGAGATTAATTCTATTGTAATGACAGAACGGATCGAAAAGGATGGATCAGAACGATGTAATGACGAGAGAAGCGATGCAAATGATGCAGGAGATGCCGAGTCCAAGGGCTTTGGCAATTATGACAATCTGCAGCATGTCTGGGAAGGTCTGCAGACAATAAAGGGCGATGCCGATGGCAATGATAGTCCAACTCAGCCAGCCGTTTGGCTCACCAAGTTGTGCGAGGGTCTGCCTACCTCTCCGCCTAAAAGCGGTTCGCTGCCACGTAGCTTTCAGATCAGTCCAAACTCCCAACCGACGAGCGTAACGAAGTCACGCTTCCTACAGCGGGACGGTAAGCCAATGAGCGAGCGACCGTTCACGATTGCATCCGATAAGCCAGCAGAAATCAATCTAGAGGACATGGAGAGGTATGCATCTACGTGCCAACCGGAGGGTAGAATTGCCAAGTTCCCTATGCCCACCGTCTCGACAAGCTCCAGTACGTCAACTTTCTTCTGTTCACTAGAGGACACACGATTGACCGACGATACGTACTCCGATGTGCGGTCCATATCTGCTAGTGACAGTGCGAATATTCATCCCGATCACAAGATCTATCGGGCAAATGGTAATAGTAGTGGCAGTACGATTTTTCGAAGTGTCTTCAAGGCAGGCAGTCGTTTGCAGGGCCGTCTGAGAAATACCATGAGCACGGAGACACTCGAATGTAATGATGAGGTTGAACGGACACGCTACTTCCGCTCGTTGAGTTCCGGAGTCAAGTACCCGAAAAAGCGAACTAAGCAGACGAAGCAGCACGCAAGAGAACCATCCTCGGATGTGGAAGAGCTGATGGGTTGCTCGAATGATCAACGAATTCCTCAACTTTACTACAAGCAAGGCAGTTCCAGTCTGGGTGCTAGAATTGCTCAATCGGATTATGCTGATCCAACGATTCTCTTCGCCGAGAGCAAACGTGCGCAGTCATCTTCCGTTGACATTAATCAGTCTAAGAATACCGCTGAGTCTGAGAGGAGAGATTGCGAAGAGGAGACGGGTAGTAATAAGGACACAGAGCATCATGAAAGCGAGACAGATAGCTTTTACGAGAAGAGCTTCGAGACCATCGAGAATTACGCTGATGTAGACGAGGCGTTCCGGGATAGTGCAATATTCAGCGATGTCGACGAGGCATACGTGATGCGGCAGTCGACACCGGTGACGATAGCGAAAATGACAACGATGGAAACAGCAGCGGCGATCGCAAAGACCAAGATTGCACCGCCAGTACCTGCCAAAAAGAAGCAAGAGATGTCATCAATAAAGTATAAGCCGAACGTTGCGCAGAAGCCGGATTACTTGAAAATAAAGTCATTGTTGGCAAGGGGACATCCTGCTGGTAATTCGGAAACCAGAGTTACCACGAGATTAGTAAATGTGACACATCAACCTCTTGATAGTTCATCGAATAATTATAAAAGGAATATCGAGATGGATAGAGATGACGTTTCCGCAGGACAGAGTCAGGCTGGTTGGGTACGGAAGATAGTAGGTCAATTGCAAGGTCATGTCGAAACGTGATCTGTACTTGTAGATGGCCTACGGGATTAAGATTACGTGTCAAAAAGTCAATAAAAATCTCAAGTCATAATCGGCGTAAGTCGTATGGATAAAAGTGAAGCAAATATTGTTGTCAAAAATAGAAAAGTATATGTGTTTTAAATAAATTTTTTGATCATTTCGATATACGAAATCATGCAAGTGATGACCTTGGCTTACTTGGGTCATTTTGTAATAATGTTAGTAAACAGATTTCTATTTTTGTATATATCGCAAAGAAATTATGTAGTGATTGGAAAATAAAAATAGAAATAGTTTGATAAAAAACACATATATATGCATGCAATTGAAGAAAAAAAAACAATTATTTTGGCTAAAACATTAAAATTAAGGGAGAATAATTTATTTGATATATATGTATATGTAATCGAGAATGAATCAAGTATATATAATTAATGGCTATACACAGTCAAACGCTGTTTTTCGGTGCGTAAATTATGTACAATATGTCTTTAATACAAATTCGAACGTTTCGGTCCCATTGTTTGGACCATCATCAGCGATAATATAATATACAATTAATATACATAATATACATATTCATTACATCGTCAGGATTAGTTAGTTACTGACATTATTAAGACGAAAGTTATAAGTTTTACACGCTATCACTTTTACATTTTCAATTATGGAATTGTGTTTTTGTCGACTAGCAGAGACATTCTTCCAACGTTTTTTAAATTAATTGTGTCACGCCTTCATTCCACCAAGTGATGGACTTACTTCTGTTGGAATAAAGGATGATTATAGATTTTATATTTTTGTGTTTAACACCATTCTCTCCAACATTAGTTAGTTTTTTGTATTATATTATCGCTGATGATGGTATCAAAGATATATTGTACATAATTTACGTACCGAAAAACAGCGTTTGACTCTGTATAGCCATTAATTGTGTATACTTGATTAATTTTGTAAGTTTTATTAAACATAAGGAGTCGTTAATTCAAATAATTTGTTGATATTTTATTCTTTAATCGAAAATGATTATTTTTTTATGAAATATAAATAAAAGTAATATTCTTTAATATCTTTACTTTGATATTCTGACATTTTTTGTAATGATAAATGAAAGTAAAATGTTTGCTTCGCTTTATTCATGTAATCATTATGCCATGATGTTGAAGAGCTAATTGGAGTCCTATTTAATTAATGTTTTTCACATGTGCCTGAAGAATAACACTGACATAACGTGATACCATTATTTCATAATAAATTCATATTTTAATATGTAGTAGATGCGCGCGTAAATAAGAAAGGCGCATTTACGTTCACGTTCATGTTATCGTCATAGAAACGTAAAAAATTAATATTCATTTATAGACTGTTGTATGTTAAGTATTGTTTGATATTACTTATGTTATCTAGAATAAAAGGAACAGTTTTTAATTAAATGAAGCATTTATAAAGCCATTTAACGTTGTATTTGATTGAAAAAGTCATCAGTTAACAGTAGTTTGAAAGAATTTAAAAATGCAAGTTTTTGTATCGTCTAAACGATTTACGACTTTAAACTTTTATTCTCAACTATTTTTTTGCTATTATTTTCAGATGTAATTGCGACTTACATTGTGAATGATCTATAATTAAATCATTGGCAACAAGAGAACGTATTTGTTACTGTGTTATCAGTAATATATGTTATTGGTTTGTGTAATAGTGTAAATGTAAGGTTTATATACGACCTTAAATATATATAATACCAATTACCTTACCTTATTATAATAATGTTAAGATTACGTATACATAAAAATCCGCTTCTGAATTCTTCATTCGAGCAAAGTCAGTGTGCTCAGGATATAATAATTTTTAGGTAAGTATATCTATTTTTATATTTTTTCTTGGATAGATTTTATTATGAGATGGTCTATTTACAGAAGTTTGGCTAGTTGCTTTTATAGATACAAAAAAAAAGTAAATTAAATATATTTATAATTATATAAATTATTTTCACAATGATGCATTTATATAAAAAATGACTAAAACGAAGATTCGACGAACGCAAGAGTAACATATATAATACGTTATACACATTATATACACAGCTTTCATAATTACAAGACTTAATCGCTAGTACAGTTCCAATTAATATTTATAAGAAATTCCTATGCTCCTATGTTCTTCTCCTACTAATACTTCTCATTAATCGCATATTTTAATTATAAAGAATAAATTAATTTCCACTTCTTTCACAACGAGTCATTGATAATGTAACAAGAATCATCTTTCATCAGCTTCTGCTATCTGTATTTTGATCAATTTTGAGGTAAAGCATTATACTAGAGCAATACTCTTTAAATAAACAATTACGTGAGCGATAAATATCATAACGAAGTAACGTTTAGTGAGAATTTTATACAGCAGAAGCTTCCTTATTCCTAAAATCTCTGTACGTTGTAACACATTATATCTCTTTTTCGACTGCTCTTCTAATTTCCAGTTGTAAGAATAATTTTATTCATTTATTGCATTAAATCTATTTGTCGCTATGGTTTTGGTTACTAATTTCTGATATCGGTAATTCGTATCTTCAATACCATCGGCTAATTAACAAAATTGTCGGAATCCATCCTATTATAGATTAATGAATATCTCTTCGAATTTACAATATATGTGAAGGAATTTTATTAAATATATTCATTATGTATATATATATATATATATATATATATGTATATGTATGTATGTATGTATATATATATATATATTTCTCTTTTTATTCATTTTATGTAATTCACGAATTTGCCTCTCAAAATATTTTGTATATCTCTATTGTATGCGAAATATAACGTACGTGTTATTTAATCGTCATCTTCTTGATCGAAAATAATGGTAAGACGTGCATAAGTTCGATTTTCCATCCCTTGGATCCTCATCCTTGTTAAAATATGAACGGCTTTTTTCTTTAAACCAACGCAACGTGATATTGGAAGTACCAGAAATATTCATTTTATTACTAAAAAAGATTCTTGTATCCTAAAATAAATATTAACTTTTTAAAGAAAAGCTTTTTTCGATACCTTTTTAACATAATTAAGTATAAAACGCGCATATAATAATTATAAAATAAAGGATTCGTAACTTAAAAATCTTAACGTATTTTAGAAAATTCAGAGAAAAATAGAGGAATTTTAGAAATCTTATCGAACAGATGCTTCTATTTATAGGTAATTGTTTTTTTAATTTTCTAAATCTTGTTTGCATTTAATAACTGGAGAACGCCAAAGATAATATGAATATATTGGAGTGATGTCTTTAAGAGCAATTAATTCAGTCTGAATAGATCCGAGGGACAGCTGAAAGGAATAAACAGTTGTCACTGCCTCACTACATATTTGCTATGTTAATTTGGAAGTTTCAGATATGCAAGAATCGAGAATTCAAAACTTAAACATCCATATATAGAGGCAAACTATTAATATGGTCGGTGTACAGGTACATTTTATCGCTGTATTAATTGTCCTAGCACTTATATATGTGTACATGTTTGCACAGAAAAAAATTTTTCGAAGATCGCTAGAAAGAGCACGGATATACGACACTGCAGATAAGATGCAACAGCTATAGCAGAATATTAATCACATGTTCATATTTTGTTCTTTTTGAATATTTTTTAAAAATAATATTTTAAATTTTATTCTATTTAGACAGTAAATAAATTAATATACTGCACACACACACGTATATTCGAAATAACTAACTCAAATCTAGGTAATTATAAAAATACGAATATTTATGTCTGATGATTGCATGAATATATATAATCAAAGAAGCAAGCATCAATGTGTGTGTGTCTTACACTTGTATCTCCTAAGTTTTTTATTCTCTTGTGAAAATAAAATTTCCATTTATGTGTATGATCGCTAGCAAGATACCGATATGTGAAATCTACACAAACTGTGTGTATGTGTGTGTGTCTCTCTCTTTCTCTAATTTTCACTGTGCTAATACTTGGTCTGTGACACGAGATTAAAACTTTCTAATTTTTTACTTTTATCTTTTTTCTTGTTTTCGCTAATTTATCCACTCTATAAATTCAAAAATTTAATACTAAATATTTTTATGCCGATGTGTCTACCTTTTTTATCTCGTGATTTGTGTACGACGCTCCGAATAAAATTATTGTCTTTACAATAATACAAAAAATCACATCAGGTAACATTTCAGTTACTATTTATCATCATTATCAAAATATTTCGCAAATATATGTGTTTTCGGAGAGAAGTATAGATCACGCGAAATAATCATTCATACGAGAAAAAAATTCTATCCTGCCATTTGATAGTCTTAAATTTTCTAGTAGCACTTAGACTGCTTTCAGGATATTTTTTTATTTGAATTATATCTTGCGTAAAATGATAACTCTCGTCTTTCTTTATCAACATATATCAATCTTTCTCTTCCTTTTAGACTTTAGACAATCATGAGACGTCGTAGAAAATAAAGGATTGTTGCAAAAAGAAGATTCATACTTTGTACAACAATTCGTTCGAATAATTCTCTTAGTATTAACAAAGCTGAATTGCTGTTAGATAAATCGACGGACACTATCAAATACTTGCTAATATTGCGAATACATTTAACACGTCTAGCATACGGTGTGTTATTTGCAAATACGTACGGGAAGACACATTGCACGTTCTATTATATCTATAATATATGTGAATAATGTGTAGTCAGCATAAAATTTGATTAAACGGTTGACTTGGTGTTTGATTGCATAAGAGCAACGTTTATAATTACGTATTACGAATATATTTCTGTCTTCGCATCTGCATTGTATTCGCGTAATTTTTACTTCACCGAATGGAATGAATTACCGTTCAAGTGCTAATAAACTGCCAACAAAATGAAATTTTCCATCCGCCAAGAATGACTGAGAAAATATCTTCAAATTTTTCTAATAAAAAAACACTATGCGCTTCAAATTTACGGATATTCAAATCTGCCGTAAATATAAAGTAATACTATCAAGATAAACTATACTGTTTTCGACACAAGTCTAAACATATAATTTTTGCCATAAAGAGATTTAGCAGAAACAAATCGATTCTCGCACAACTTCGCTAATATATTGAATTTATTTTTTCGATAGTGTAATACTTTCTTTATCTAGTAATCTACTCTCTCTATATAGAGCAAATATCCATATAAAATATCAAAATAGTTTAACATTTCGCGGATAATTATATATTTTACTCTGATAATTCTTTACAGTTCAAT